GAGCTTAATCAATTAGTGATGCTGACATGGATGTTAAAGGATCAAAACATGTATTCCTGACCCTATAGTGTTAAAACCACCATCTTGCCCCCCTGGGCCTCTCATGCCTTCATAAATATAGTAAAAATCTTACTGTATTTAAGCCTGAAGTTGTAACTCTGCATGCTGTTAGACTCAGAAAAACAAGCAGCCTGCTGACATCATCAGAAGTGGTAGCCTGATCCAATCACAATGCTTCTCCATAGGAGTGGCTGAGACTGACAAAGAGGTAGATCAGGGGCAGAGCCAGCAAGATTCAAACACAGCCCTGGCCAATCAGCATCTCCTCATAGAGATAAATTGAATCAAATAAATCTCTGTGAGGAAAGTTCAGTGTCTGCATGCAGAGGGAGGAGATACGGAATGTTTGGATGCATTTTAGGCAGCCATGACCCAGGAAGGATCTCTAACAGCCATCTGAGGAGTGGCCAGTGAAGTTAGCACTAGGCTGTAATGTAAACACTGCATTTTCTCTGAAAAGACAGTCTTTACAGCAAAAAGCCTGAAGGTAATGATTCTACTCACCAGAACAAATTCAATAAGCTGTAGTTGTTCTGGCGACTATAGTGTCCTTTTAACCAGGAAAAGAATATGATGGTAAGTATTTGAAAACTTTTCTGTTTTGTTTCACTTGTATTTTGTGCTAATTTCATCTAAATGTTTTAAAATGCATTATGTGTGCTAAACATTAAATCTGAATTGTCACATTTATTTTTTTTGTTCCTACAAACAAAGCTCTAGCTCCCTAAAATTACTTTTTCATACGGGTAGTTTCTTTCAATATAACCATGTTGCCTGCACTTTAATTTAATTGAAATTCCAATGCTTTTAGAAGATGTACATGTCGATGTAGTAGAAACTGCTTTGTCATATATAAGCAAATTTTTAGCATACTATCGCAAATAATGCAGATTTAAGCAGCTTTAAAAGTCACATTTCGTCATTTCCAATCAGCCCTTGCTTAAAGGACCACTATAGTGCCAGGAAAACATACTCGTTTTCCTGGCACTATAGTGCCCTGAGGATGCCCCCACCCTCAGGGTCCCCCTCCCGCCCAGCTCTGGAAGGGGGAAAGGGGTTAAAACTTACCTTTTTCCAGCGCTGGGCGGGGAGCTCTCCTCCTCCGATCCTCCTCCGTTCCTCCCCGTCGGCTGAATGCGCATGCGCGGCAAGAGCTGCGGCACATTCAGCCGGTCGCATGGGAAAGAATTCATAATGCTTTCCTATGGACGCTGGCGTGCTCTCACTGTGAAAATCACAGTGAGAAGCACGCAAGCGCCTCTAGCGGCTGTCAATGAGACAGCCACTAGAGGCTTTGGGGGAAGGCTTAACCCATTCATAAACATAGCAGTTTCTCTGAAACTGCTATGTTTATAAAAGAATGGGTTAATCCTAGAGGGACCTGGCACCCAGACCACTTCATTAAGCTGAAGTGGTCTGGGTGCCTAGAGTGGTTCTTTAAGTTTTTTAATTTTCTACACACTGCATATTTAGGTCACTTTGCGTTTGTTATTGATGCATCCTCATATTTATGCACTTTTTATTTCATTTTGGGCACCACAATGACTTTGTCAGTGAAGTCAGATGTTCTCAGCTGACATTCTCAGCCTAATACCAATGCTCTAGGGAACGGCTCATGCACTGAAGCTGGGGCTGTAGGAGGTTGGGTGCCATCAACAACACGTTGGGGTTAACTGTTCGAGCATGGTTTAACACCATAAATCAAGTGTAGGTGACTTTTGGCACTACAGATGTTGTGGACTACATATCCCTTGATGCTTGGCCAGCATTAAGGCTGTAAGAGCATTGTGAGACATATAGTCTACAACTTCTGGAGTGCCGACGTTTGCCTAATCCTGCTATAAGGTATGACGAGGACAGGCAACCTTCGGCACTCCAGATGTTCTGGACTACACTTCCCATGATGCTTTGCCAGCATTGTGGCAGAACCAGTCTCGCCACTGGGCATTGGAGAAGACTGATTGCCAGCCTCCTGCCCTGTGACTATGGCCCCATGTTGAAATGCTGTATTTTACCCTGCAAAGACCCGAAAGCCAGGTCATTCGGTACTTTCCCTATGTGAGCAGTGTTACACCAGATAGCTATGCCATGGAGCCCCGTTCATATAACGAAAGACTATGTGAAAGACTTTGGCTCCATGGCAATTGAACTATATGTATGTGATCTGAGTGCCATTCAGTAATCTGCGCTCAGATCTAAGCTATCTGGGGAATAATGTTAAATGTACCCGTTTTATGCAATCGCTGCACAGTTATATATTTTTATGTATTTTATTGTATTTTGCTACCATGTGGCTAATGGAGTTTTGCCTCTGTCATTGGAGATAATTGGATTACTTCCCAATTATCTCCAGGATAGAAGACTCTGTGGAAATGGTTTTGGGCAGAAAAACCATGCTTCATTTTGTCAAATAGGACTTTCCCTTAACTTTTTAACCCCTGAACCGATTGACCTGATTTTTGAGTATGTGTATATTTCAAGCATGCAGATTCTGAAAATGTATGTTTTATGTGAATTGCATGTATATTTTGGAAGTTATTAATATTTTGTAAAAACTGTAACAGGCAGAGGGGAGGATTTTGTGTGGGAGTGTCTGTGTGTATTGTACGGATTGATTGGTTGTATTTCAAAACCCTGTGGGCAGTACTATGTTTGTGGATTGTGAATAAAAGAGGCTATATGTGCCAGTACAGTCAGCTCTGCTTGACCTCAAAATGAAGTGTTGTCTCGTTATTGGGGGAATTGAATTGTATGCTGATTGCCAGGAGTGTAAGCTGATTGTATGCTTTTCCTGTTCAGCTGTTCACAGCATTCATATGATTGAGAGCATTCGCATGCTTCTCTGGTTCAATGGTTGTAGTGTCTGCTGCAGTGCTTGGAGTCTTCAGGAAGCGCTAGAATCATCCTTCAACAGAGGTACCCAGTCGGGGTGCCAGGTGATCCGTTACAAGCATTATTGGGAATGTAGTCCACAACATCTGGAGTGCCGAAGGTTGCCTATCCCTGCCCTAGGATCTCAAGACACCATAAAGACTTCATTTAAATGAAGTCAATATTGTGTCACGAATACTCCTTTAATAACCTCTTAAACGTAATCCCCCTAACTCAGAATCATTCGGAGTTAATAGATCTTCTGCAAAGGTGTCTGTAGAGAAATTAAAGAATACCCTTTCCACATTTATGGTTTAATAAAAATATGAAACATAATCCACTGAAACTAAACTGGTAGTCGTGCAAAGAAGCTGCAGAAAATGAGAATGGGCCCCCAGAATCATGATCTACACTATTCCTTTAAACCCCTATGTGGTGGGATATACAATAATATAAAATGGTTGACCAGAGAATCCCATTTACCCGGCCTATTAAGTGCCACTCCACATTATACTGACTGCCCAGTATATTTTCACTCTCTCTGTTTTGCAGTTGTTTTTTCATGCTGACAATTTTTTTATTGTTGACAACACTGGAATGGTCAAGTTACAATAAATGTTTATGACAATACAATGCTATATGGGACAAAGAAAAACGTTACCTGCGCTCTGGCCTAGATCCCCATGTGCATTTGAACAAAAATGGAGGCTCTTTAGTTCTATTCTAAATGGCCATTTGAATATATAAGCTCACCAGCCACGTCAAGGCAAGCCTCAATAGGTGAGTTCCTACACTAGCCATTAGATACGCTGATATCAGCCAAGAGTCTCCAATAAGACAGGAAGGGGTATTTTATAAACCCTTTAACATTTAACCCTTTATAGGGCTTCTGCACATACAATAAACTTTTTGGGGATTTTAGCGTGAGAACGTTCAGCGTCTGTTAGGCGACCAAAAGTCTACCAGTCAGCCACTAGAGGTGGAGTAAACCCTGAATAGTAATTATTGCAGTTTCTCAATAACTGCAATAATTACTATTGCAGGGTTAAGGGGCATGGAATATGCATCCAGACCACGTCAATGAGCTTAAGTGGTATAGGTGCCTATAATGTCCCTTTAAGCTTCCAATCTCTTTGTGAATTTTATGTGATTTTACTTTTTGTGTTAAATTTACTTAACAAAAAATAAAAATATTTGTTTACTTCTAAAGCTCAGGAAAAAAAAAACACATACATTTATGGAGCACAGCCTAACAGAATTTTTCATTAAATGAAAACAGGCTGTCGTCTGCCAAATATCATTATTCACAGAGATAAAACCAGAATTTGCCTTCACACATGCCACACAAAATATGGGATTTTTGCAGCTTTCTTTTTGCTATTAGCATAAAAAAAGCTTTTAGCGCCACCTTCTGACTTAGGAGTTAAAAAACTAAAAGCAGTCAACAGTTGTTCACCATAAATATTGCCATCATGTGTTGATTGCCATGCCATCAAAAAGAAACATGCAGCTAAAATGTTTTAATACATTTATCTTGGATTGTTGGATCTGTCAAATACACAGAAGTTATATTTTGCATGCCAGAGTACCTTAGCCTATTGGAGATGCTAATCAGATCTTGACACATTACTACATAATTGGTTGGAAGGTGGCAAACACCTAGTGTTAGGTTGAAAAATCATTCAGATTCAATACATGTGGAATGTTTTTTCACTTGCAACTAAACAAGTTCAGTTGGAAAGTGGCTACAATTCACATAACATCTATAGGTGCTATCTTAAAGAGACATCTTTTATTGCCAAACACCGTATTATTATATACAGAAAGATGCACAACTTAGTTAATAATCCAAATCTCTTTATTATACAAAGTGAATCAATCACAAATACAAAACAAACACTGTTACAAGACTATAACAACCAGGCTATGAAATATGCTCTAAATCAAACAGGCATAAAAGCTCACTTGCATATTACCTCAAAGGGCTGGACACGTGTACAGAACAAAACCCCAAGGTTTCGGCACAAACGTAATATGCAAGTGAGCTTTTATGCCTGTTTTTTGCAGGAGGTCAGAGACTAGAATATACACAAAGTGAAAAAACAATCAAACAACTAGCTTGTAACTCAAGCCATGCCATGTTAGCATCCCATCCACCATTTGAACCATGTGGGTGTCTCAGCCTTGTTGAATCTTATATGGAGAAATATACTAATTATGATTATCTTTAAAGTCAAGAACTTATAGTTTTGACTTTGCAATATAGCTGCCTATCAATGGAATTAATTCTTCAACCAGTTTGGTGGCTCTTTTGGCAGTTCCAATATGCACAGAATATCCACTGGCACCATGGCCATAATTGTGCACCATGTGAAGTTTTTGTCCTTTCTTAAAAAGCACCTCTTTCTCAAGTCTCACTGCTGCACGTACTGGCCTTAAGCCGACCTTCTCGCGAATCACACCAACACCATGAAGAGATGGTTCAAGTTCACAACACCGATCTTGGATTTCTTTGCTGATTTTAAAATCAGGCAATAGGCTCCAGTCATGTTTGTGTCTCGTTCCACCAAGAGTTGTGTTATTTATTCCTGGGTATATATAAGTGTTCTCGTCTCCATCTCTAATAAAGTGTTTTATCCAGGGTGCGTGGACCTCCAGAACTTGGCCTTTAACAGGATACAATAATATATCACCAGTTAGTTCTCTTGATCCTATGCCTGTACAGTTCACGATTATATCATATGTGCCATGTAGCTGCCAAACATCATCAACTTTTCTTGCTATTAGTTTTCCACCGTTACTTTTAAACCTGCAACAGAATATGAGATATGAGAAAGGCTACAAAGGGCTACACCTGTGTTGAGCAAACAGTCCCTTATCTAATCTGCTCCTCTGGCCTTCCATAGAGCACTTCTGTTGAGCAGTAGTCTACCCCACACCCCCAAAGTAAGAGCATTACATTGGAAGGTACAAAATTGGGAGAAACATTTACTGATTATATCATGTTTTTACAGTTTTGTTATTCTTATTTCTACTATTTGCTGATATGAGTTTAAGGATAGAACTAAACATGAAATATATGCTATTAGCATAGTATAATATTAATAATTAAGTGTTATATAAAAGAGATTGTATTCAGGCCAACTAGAATTAATAATAATAATAACAACAAAGTATTTAACCAGGATAGGTACATTTAGATTACTCTGGTTTCCAAGTATGTCCTGGGAAAGTTACTCTCACCCAATTTAATGGTACTTATTTTATCAACTTCAGAAGGATGAAGGTCTGAGTCAACCCTATCGTGAATTGAACCTTCGACCCCTGAGAATTCCTATTACTCAGATATAATGTTCCACTGCTTAGAAGATATCTCTTCATATTTTAAAAGAAAATTAATCAATGAGGACCAGGTTGTGAAATAAGTAAAATACGTAAGGGATAATCTCAATTCTTCCTTTTTACTGTATGCCCTGATATTATAAAAAATCCAGTACATTTTGCAAATAAAATAGATTGAAAGACAACTAACCTTTTCTCCATCCAAGGAAGATAAAGTGTAGACTGGCACTTGAGTGTTGTAAATGTCTGACCAAATGTATGGCGAGGAAACTTTTCCAACTCATTCTCAGTCATCACCCGAAATCCTAGAACAACATCCCACCAAAAGGGGAAGGCTTCTTTAGGCCGTTTCTTGTATACCTGCCACCTTAAGGTAAATCCATGTGATGTTTAATACAGCGCACCTTTTGAGTTTATATACCAAAATAACTAAAGGTATACCCCCCCTTTGTGTTACTGGAAATCTAAAGAACAAAAAAATATCTAGAGAAAAGGGGTGCATTTACATTATTGCAGGCTTATACAATGTATGATCATATACTGTAACTGAATCCCCTTTATTTTTCCCTACGTTGGGTGTTTTTTAAAAATACTATACATTTTTAAGAGCTTTGAAACTGGGCTTTGGTGAGAACATACACACACAAACACATACACATGTACTTCATCATTATAGAGATGTGGGGTGGTATGATTGCATCAACGTAAAATGTTGAGGAGAAGATTTGATTTAATTAAGCAGGTGGAATGCTAACATGCTCTATTTATTCTATGTATGTAAATATTTATATATTAACAGAACCTGCTTACCCAGAAAGGAAGTATATACCAGCTTCTGTAGCTTCTCCAGAATTAGCAATGTTGAAAAGATAGTCAAAGGTTTCCCGAAACCAGTATTTTTGCTCCTGAAGTGGAGTTTCTTTTGAGAGAACATAAAAGTAATTTTCAAAACATGCATTATTTAACTGACCTTTTATGCAGGTTGAAGATTAGTGGTTCAAAATAATTCTTGCACATAGCATTTCCCTTTAAATCATAAATACATTTTTAATGCATATAATTGCTAACATGTATAGCTTGGAGGAAAGACGAGACGGGGGGATATGATAGAAACATTTAAATACATAAAGGGAATCAACACAGTAAAGGAGGAGACTATATTTAAAAAAAGAAAAACTACCACAACAAGAGGACATAGTCTTAAATTAGAGGGACAAAGGTTTAAAAATAATATCAGGAAGTATTACTTTACTGAGAGGGTAGTGGATGCATGGAATAGCCTTCCAGCTGAAGTGGTAGAGGTTAACACAGTAAAGGAGTTTAAGCGTGGGATAGGCATAAGGCTATCCTAACTATAAGATAAGGCTAGGAACTAATGAGAAAATTGGGCAGACTAGATGGGCCGAATGGTTCTTATCTGCCGTCACATTCTATGTTTCTATAATTAATTTACAATTCGTTAGTTGCAGAATTTGACATTACAACTATCAAGATCCACCAATTATTTTTGCCCAGCACTAGCTTCCTTATTAGTGCTGGACAACGTTCAGTCAACATGTCATAGAGAAGCACATCATAGAGAAGCATAAATCTGAATCCCAAAGCCTCTTTTTTTATTTTTGACATGCTTGAAGGTAACAAAACATTTTTGCGATGCCCCAACAGCATTAGCAAGGTGGATGGATAAACAGAGCAAATCAGCGCAAGGCATCAGAAATACAGAAATCCCAAAGCTTCTAATAAAAAAAAAAAAAATAATAATTTAAAAAAAAATTAATTCTAATTAAAAACCAAAAACAATACCTACTTTATGATTGTATTAATAAAAGTGCCATTTTTAGAATGACCACTAACATCACCCAGGCCAGTTTACCTCAATATAGTTTTAATCCTTGCTGGTTTTCTTTTAGAAATGGCAATGATTACATTGATGGATTAAATACGCCTCTATTGGCTGTCTTCTTGGCAACAACTGTGTGAGATTTAGCAGGGCTCGAGTCCTGCAGGAACGCATGGGAACGGCGTTCCTGCACTTTTTCCAAAGCAGGAACGCCGTTCCCGCTAGTGATCCTGCAGGACCGGCCCTGCTACCTGCACAGAGGGGCCAGCACACGCTGTGTTCCCTCTCCAGCTATAACTCTCGCGAGACCCGCGGCTGTTTCCATGGCAACGCTCCGCACAGGCGAGTCTCGCGAGAGTTAAAGCTGGAGAGGGAACACAGCGTGTGATGGCTCCTGTGTGCAGCGGCTGCCTCCCTCCACCGGACCACCAGGCGATCTCCCCCCTCCCTGACAAGGTAAGAAGCAGGGAGATACAAATTATACATAAAGTAAAAAAATGCTACCCCCCCACACACACCCATCATCCAGCACTCACACACCCATCATCCAGCACTCACACACCCATCATCCAGCACACACACACATCATCAGCACTCACACACCCCATCATCCAGCACACACACACACACCCACATCCTCCAGCACTTACACACACATCATCCAGCACTCACACACACATCATCCAGCACACACACACACACACACATCATCCAACACACACACATCATCCAGCACACACACACACATCATCCAGCACTCACACACACACATCATCCAGCACTCACACACCCATCATCCAGCACTCACACACACACATCATCCAGCACACACACACACCATCCAGCACACACACACCATCCAGCACTCTCACACACATCATCCAGCACACACATCATCCAGCACTCACACACACATCATCCAGCACACACACACACACACCCATCATCCAGCACTCACACACCCATCATCCAGCACACACACCCATCATCCAGCACTCACACACACACACATAATCCAGCACACACACACCATCCAGCACACACACACATCATCCAGCACTCGCACACACATCATCCAGCACACACACACACATCATCCAGCACTCACACACACGTCATCCAGCGCGCACACGCACACACTGCATTCATTATACACACTCTTCACTCACCACAAACACACTACATTCACTATACACCCTCTGCATTCACTATACACACTCTGCATTTATTATGCACATTCTGCACTCACTACACACTACATTCACTATGCACATTCTGCACTCACTACACACTACATTCACTATACACACTCTGCATTCACTACAAACACACTGCATTCAGTGTACACACTCTGCACTCACTAAAAACACACTGCATTCATTATACACACTCTGCATTCACTACAAACACACTACATTCATTATACACACCCTGCACTGCACTATATGCATAGGAGTGTAATTTTTTTTTTTTTAAAGGGGGGGGGGCGGCGGGAATCTTGGGTGAGTTCCTACACTTTTTTCCCCAGGACTTGACCCCGGACCTCACAGGTTCTCAATGGGGTTTAGATCAGGTGAACAAGGAGGCCATGTCATTAGATTTTCTTCTTTTATACCCTTTCTTGCCAGCTACGCTGTGGAGTACTTGGACGCGTGTGATGGAGCATTGTCCTGCATGAAAATCATGTTTTTCTTGAAGGATGCAGACTTCTTTCTGTACCACTGCTTGAAGAAGGTGTCTTCCAGGAACTGGCAGTAGGACTGAGAGTTGAGCTTGACTCCATCCTCAACCCGAAAAGGCCCCACAAGCTCATCTTTGATGATACCAGCCCAAACCAGTACTCCACCTCCACCTTGCTGGCGTCTGAGTCGGACTGGAGCTCTCTGCCCTTTACCAATCCAGCCACGGGCCCATCCATCTGGCCCATCAAGACTCACTCTCATTTCATCAGTCCATAAAACCTTAGAAAAATCAGTCTTGAGATATTTCTTGGCCCAGGCTTGACGTTTCAGCTTGTGTGTCTTGTTCAGTGGTGGTCGTCTTTCAGCCTTTCTTACCTTGGCCATGTCTCTGAGTATTGCACACCTTGTGCTTTTGGGCACTCCAGTGATGTTGCAGCTCTGAAATATGGCCAAACTGGTGGCAAGTGGCATCGTGGCAGCTGCACGCTTGACTTTTCTCAGTTCATGGGCAGTTATTTTGCGCCTTGGTTTTTCCACACGCTTCTTGCGACCCTGTTGACTATTTTGAATGAAACGCTTGATTGTTCGATGATCACGCTTCAGAAGCTTTGCAATTTTAAGAGTGCTGCATCCCTCTGCAATATATCTCACTATTTTTGACTTTTCTGAGCCTGTCAAGTCCTTCTTTTGACCCATTTTGCCAAAGGAAAGGAAGTTGCCTAATAATTATGCACACCTGATATAGAGTGTTGACCACACCCCTTCTCATTACAGAGATGCACATCACCTAATATGCTTAATTGGTAGTA